TAGCTCTTCGACCAGGTCTTGGGGTGGTAAGATGTGGGGGATTGGTTGGAGAAAGTCCCAAGACTTTATGCAAATATTCGGAAGATACATCAAAGCATTTCCTCCGAGTAAGACGGAAAAGTTTGATAATATTTTCCAACAATTGAAACGTCTTGGCGAAATTCTTGGGGATTATTATAAACGTTTGTCTTCTGGTGCATTTGAGCATAGCCATGCTCTTATGGAACATTTTAATCTACCATCTTTTGATTCACTTTCCTTTGGTGAAAAGCCCAGTCCCAATTCCTGTTCACCTCATCTCACTTTCACCACCGATAATTTCTTCAATCCTCCCCATAAAGATCATAATGATATATCCAAGTGGGCTTTCGTTATGTTTATTCCCATCTACTCTGCTACTGGGAAATTAGCTGGTACTGATTCTGGTTATGACATTAAAGGTGTCCCTTTTGTTTTTCCTTCTTATCAAACTGGTATTAGTTTTGACAAACAACATGGTACTGTTAAAATGATTTGGCAAGCCAATAAGTATAGACATTGTACTCTTCCTTATTCCTCTCTATCTGGTTCTACAGAGTTTACACGGCTTGGGTTATCACTTCAGATTACTACTTCTATTGTTAATGCTGTTAAAAATGAAGCCAAAGGTTATTATAATGATCCTCTTCATTACTTTGGTGATCACTTCTATTATATGTTTCGTTGTCTAGCAAAAGGTACTTTATTAGCTGCTTTATTTTGTTTTCATTACTTCCTTTTTATCTTTTCTTTCTTTTTTTAAGTAGTAGTTTCTATCATGCAATTTTATAAGTAAAAAAAAACAATCAAAAACAGATTCCACCATCTTTTTATTCTAATAATGATGAAATTCATCTGTTAGATTTATAACAGAGAAAAATTATCAAGTGAGGAGAATACAACCTCAATGAGTGTGTAGGAACAATTTGCAATTTGCCATAATGATTGTCATTGCTTCATAGATTCACGATAGTCTTAGCATAATCTATGTTCAGAACTAAGATTGTCATTGCTTCATAGATTCATGATAGTCTTAGCATAATCTATGTTCAGAACTTCAAGAGTCCAGTACAAGTGTGCCAAGTGATTTGGATAGAATATGAAGAGAATTTGTGAAATTAACTGAGGATAACATATAAATGAATATGATAATGTAGGAACTTTTGGCCAATCGTAATAAAGATTGTCATTGCTTAACTTCAAATATCCACCATAATCTTAGTATAATCTGTGTTCAGTCTCATAACTCCAAGAATGCATTACAGGTGTGCTCAGTTATACCTAATGGCAACATGATCCACAGCAATATATAAATGTTCTTCTTTATTATTGTTGTAATTGATGATAAT